AGAGGAAAATCTTTCGCCCCTCGTAAGCATGTCCGCGACCCATTGGCGAAGGGGCGGTCTGGGGCAGACGCTGATCGAGTGCAGGGAAACGCAGAAGAAGTGGAATGGGGCTGATGCTGCGGGAATTGCCCTATGTAGGGGCAGCGCCCGACAAGGTAGTGCTGCTTTCCCCGACAATTGTCCGACGGTCTTTGCCTGGTTGCCCACGCCTCCAGACGACGAATTACTGGCGCCGCAGAACCCCTGCAATAAGACGAGGAATCTGGCTCGAAGGTGGATCAAGTTCCATCGTGCCCACCTCGGCGCGCTGGAAACAGGGAAGGAATCGGCGCCCCTCCCCCCCCGAAGGAGTGGTGGCCATACATCAGCAGGAGGGCGATGAATGAGGAATGACATTCTATACTGAACCCCTTCGACTGGGACTACGCCCATCCAGCTGACCGCCGCCAAGAGGAGCCAAGCAGCGGATGGTCGGCGTGGTGCATGACGGCCCCAGGAACGAGGGACCTTGAACCGCTCGCCAGTCTGATGGCTGCCATGGCCGCGGAGATTGCGGAATACTGGCCACGTGCAGAGTCCCGCAGGGCCCCTATGCCTAAGGCACGGGCAACGAGTTCGGGCGCGCCAGCCGATTATGTCGGGGCTGCCGCGCCGTCTCGTGAGCCATCTGTCAGAGGTGCCAATCGGCCGCGCTCTGCGAGGCCTGGCGGTCGTTCTTCGCCAGCGAGGGCGGCGGACGACGTGGCTGGCAGGGGGGGGGGCGACAGGGGCAGCGGCAAGGGGTCGAAGAGGCCAAGCAGCCGAGCGCCAGATAATCAACAATATCTCAAGCGGCGCCGAGCTGATAACCCGACGCAGTGGGACATAGGGATGCGCCCCACAGTGTGGGGGCAGCCTCTTCTAGTTCCATGCCTACTTTGCGGCCTCCCGCGGCCCGTGACATTCGATATCAGGATGCTCCGTGGCGGGGCGAGGCAGATGCAACGCGGCGCAGGGCAGATGAGAATCTACGTGTCGCCCATGGTGCGCGTATGCCCACGCGCAGCAGCATGCGAAGGATTCCTCCGCCCCGCGGCAGGGAGGGGCCGCGAAGTGGTGGTCATCGAGACATGGAGCTCGGACAGCTGGAACAATGGCAGCTGGGGTTCAAGTGATCATAGGTGAGGGTGAGAGGAAGAGAACGAGGGGGGAAAACGGCTATGCCGACAGTGCCCCTTCGAGGCTGATGTCTGCGGCTCAAATGCGTCCATCAGGCCATAAGGGATTGATTGGGTCGCCGTGGCGCAAAAATGCCATGCGCCCGCGTTTTTGGCACGGCGAGCCAGACAGCGGGAGACCTGCCTGCCGGGTGCTGCGTGCCAAGACGTCTTTGTAAACAAATCGGGGCGATGCCTAAATCGGGTTCGCCCGCCCATGCGAGTTGAGCTCGCCGGGCCGGCCGCGGGGGGAGCTGATTGAGTCATCCCTCCGTGCCCATTTCTGACATGTAGTTTTGTCGCAGCTGTTGCTGGTTGGCTCAGGAGAAGGACCGCGGCCCGCCCGCCCGGCGCGCGCGTCAGCCAGCCCCCGCATATCATGTTGCTACCTCAAGCGTAACGGGCACCATCATATTCATTTAGCCGTGGCATTGGGGGATGCATCACCTACGAAGATAAACCTGATCAAGAGACTACTACAGTGAGAAGATGAATGGAAATAATTGCGAGACGAAAGCATTCTGCCTATCAGCACTTCGAAGAAATAACCCGAATCATCAATGAGTTGGCAAAATACTTGTTGAGCCCTCACAATCCTGAGTCTGTCCAGCGCGCCATTTCTGGCGCGTTGATCATGGGGACCAGTGGACATCTTGCACATGTTTAAAGCGGATGTGCACGGCGCTATGGCGAGAACCACATTTTGAAAAGGAGCCGCCCTCAATATGTAAAGTTTTTGCAAATATTGAAAACCAAGGTGCGCGGCGCTCAGACGAGAGCCACATATTGACAACGACCTGCTCTCAGTCCACGAGACTCTTGCACATGTTCAAAACGAATGTGCGCGGCGCTAAGGGTAAGGCGATAGCCTCATTTTGAAGGCCACTCGCCCTCCGTCTGCGAAGCTGTCGCCAGCTTCTGAATGTCAGGGTCATAAATGGTGGGGGACTGTCAGACGGAATGCCTTGGCTGGCCCTTTCGACTGGCTTCGGAATGCGACAGGGAGGAGTTACTGTGAAGGCCTGACGGCCAGTGCCGCCGATCCTGAATGACATCGACGACGACCAGGAGGGGGAGGAGGAGGAGCAACAGGAGGAGGAAGAGGCGGAAACGGAACTGAGATAAGGAGATAAGGAGGAGGAGAAGGAGGAGGAGGAGGAGGAGGAGGAGGAGGAGGAGGAGGAGGAAGAGGAGGAGGAGGAGGAGGAGGAGGAGGAGGAGGAGGAGGAGGAGGAGGAGGAGGAGGAGGAAGAGGAGGAGGAGGAGGAGGAGGAGTAATAATAAGAATAATAATAAGAGGAAGA